ATATATTATATATATATATATATATATATTACAGTGGTATACATAAATACACAGGATGTATGAATCGGTTTAAATTCGGGTCTATGTATATATTCAAGCAATAATAATAATAATAATAATAATAATAATAAATTATTATTATTATTATTATTATTATTATTATTATTATTATTATTATTATTATTATTACTACTCTCCCATCAGCTGGCGGACTTGGGTACTCGACTCTCATCTTACAAGAGCAGTCCTGGGTGTGCAATTGCATCTTGCGCCTCTACTGCCCTCTCCTGCGGCCTGCACGGCAGGTAGGTGCAGGATGGCAGCATCCTCTATCCTTCTTGGGGAAAAAAAGGCCAACAGGCCGTCTTACAGGCTGGGCTTACAACCAAAGAGTCTGGGTTTAATCCCGGGGTAAATTGAGAAATATGGGTTATTCTCCTAACACCTGTTTCCCCCGTTCACCTGGGGGTAAATAAGTACCTGGGAGTTAGCTGATTTTTGTGGAGATAATGGCGATAGTAGCATACTTTAAACAGCATTATGCTTTGAAATTACATAAGGAAGTATAACAGCTGTCCACCTGTAAATGAGCCGAGGCAGGATAACAGCTGTCCACCTGTAAATGAGCTGAGGTAGGATAACAGCTGTCAGCCTGTAAATGAGCTGAGGTAGGATAACAGCTGTCAGCCTGTAAATGAGCTGAGGTAGGATAACAGCTGTCAGCCTGTAAATGAGCTGAGGTAGGATAACAGCTGTCAGCCTGTAAATGAGCTGAGGTAGGATAACAGCTGTCAGCCTGTAAATGAGCTGAGGTAGAATAACAGCTGTCAGCCTGTAAATGAGCTGAGGTAGGATAACAGCTGTCAGCCTGTAAATGAGCTGAGGTAGGATAACAGCTGTCCACCTGTAAATGAGCTGAGGTAGGATAACAGCTGTCAGCCTGTAAATGAGCTGAGGTAGGATAACAGCTGTCAGCCTGTAAATGAGCAGAGGTAGGATAACAGCTGTCAGCCTGTAAATGAGCTGAGGTAATATAACAGCTGTCAGCCTGTAAATGAACTTAGGTAGGATAACAGCTGTCAGCCTGTAAATGAGCTGAGGTAGGATAACAGCTGTCAGCCTGTAAATGAGCTGAGGTAGGATAAGAGCTCTAAGCCTGTAAATGAGCTGACGTAGGATAACAGCTGTCAGTCTGTAAATGAACTGAGGTAGGATAACAGTTATCAGCTTGAAAATAAGCTGAGGTAGGATAACAGCTGTCAGCCTGTAAATGAGCTGAGGTAGGATAACAGCTGTCAGCCTGTAAATGAGCCGAGGCAGGATAACAGCTGTCCACCTGTAAATGAGCTGAGGTAGGATAACAGCTGTCAGCCTGTAAATGAGCTGAGGTAGGATAACAGCTGTCAGCCTGTAAATGAGCTGAGGTAGGATAACAGCTGTCAGCCTGTAAATGAGCTGAGGTAGGATAACAGCTGTCAGCCTGTAAATGAGCTGAGGTAGGATAACAGCTGTCAGCCTGTAAATGAGCTGAGGTAGAATAACAGCTGTCAGCCTGTAAATGAGCTGAGGTAGGATAACAGCTGTCAGCCTGTAAATGAGCTGAGGTAGGATAACAGCTGTCCACCTGTAAATGAGCTGAGGTAGGATAACAGCTGTCAGCCTGTAAATGAGCTGAGGTAGGATAACAGCTGTCAGCCTGTAAATGAGCAGAGGTAGGATAACAGCTGTCAGCCTGTAAATGAGCTGAGGTAATATAACAGCTGTCAGCCTGTAAATGAACTTAGGTAGGATAACAGCTGTCAGCCTGTAAATGAGCTGAGGTAGGATAACAGCTGTCAGCCTGTAAATGAGCTGAGGTAGGATAAGAGCTCTAAGCCTGTAAATGAGCTGACGTAGGATAACAGCTGTCAGTCTGTAAATGAACTGAGGTAGGATAACAGTTATCAGCTTGAAAATAAGCTGAGGTAGGATAACAGCTCTCAGCCTGTAAATGAGTTGAAGCACGATAACAGCTAAAATCTAATAGCTTGATATCAGTTCTTAGCTTCTAAACGAGCTGAGGTAAGATAACAGCTCCGAGCTTACAAAGTCTTCCTCCTTCATTCATCAGGTGCCAAGGATCGCCGGGATCACTAAGGTGTGAGTGCCAGTCAGGATGGACGGGGCCAGGATGTGCCATACCTACTAAACCAGCATCCTTCCAGCCCAACAGCTATGTTAAGTTGGCACTCTCCTTCACACCTCTGGCCTACACCACCACCATCAGCCTCAGGTCTGATTATATATATATATATTATATATATATATATATATATATATATTATATATATATATATATATATATATATATATATATGCAATAAGATCACAGTAAACAGGTGATTTCAGAATATGCAAAACAACCACTCTGAAAGAATAGAGAAATTCCAAGCGCTTTCGTGACTACTCACATTATCAAGGAACTATGAAAGTAAAGCATCCAAGGAAGCTATATAAGGGGTCTGGCGAGCACCTCACTATCAGATCCCACAACGGTTAAACACCTGACGCGCGCCGGCCCAACTGGACAGGTCCTTTGCAAAACCACCAACAAACTATTCTACCCAAGAAAATTTAAAAAAATATTATTTGTCCAGTGTATTATTAAATTCTTCCCAAATTCTATTAATTATAAATGGATCTAATTTATATAAACCAAAGGAAATATTAATATTATTGTCAAAACTGCTTTTTATGAAACAAGATTCAATTATATTCCTGTCGACCATGGACTTGCTTGATACTACTTTCTCAACTTTTTGAAAATCAATTGGATGGTTAAAATCTCTTACATGAATAAATAGAGCATTGGAATCTTGTCCAGTTCTAATGCTATATTTATGTTGTTTTAATCTTAGTTCGAGATTTTTTAAACCCGTTTGACCGTAATAAACTTTATCGCAAATTTTACAAGGAATCTTATAGACACATCCATCAGCATTTTGGGGGGAATTCTTTATCAAAAGTTTTTTTTACTGTATCAAGATTTTTGAATACAACTTTAATATTAAAAGTCTTAAGAAGAGAAGGCATATCAACCAAGTTTTCATGGTAAGGGAGAACCAGCATATTTTTAGTTGAATAAGGCTGGATGTCCCTTTTTGGATTGTAAAAAATATTTTTAGCAAATTTAAAGATTTATCAATTACATTTCTTGGGTATTTTAAATCATTACCTATTTCATAAATTTTGGATATTTCCTCATCTATTAAGCTCCTTGACTGACTTAAATGATTTTAACATGGTTAGTTTTGATGTTACTTCCTTGTTTACGAAAGTTCCTGTTGATGATTTATTAAGTTTCTTATCTGAAGAACTCGTTAACTATGATTTACCATTGCCAGTTCCTACTATCATTAAACTTATTAAACTTTGCATTCTTGATGCAAAATTTGTATTTAATGATAAGTTTTACACTCAGAAGATTGGTATGGCAATGGGAAATCCTCTTTCACCTGTTCTTAGTAACCTATACATGGAATTTTTTTAAACAAGATTGCTTAACACAATCCTCCCTAATAGAGCTAAATGGTTCAGATATGTTGATGATATTTTGTGTCTTATGCCCAAAAATGTAGATATACACCATTTCCTAGGAAAATTAAATAGCTTAGCGCATTCTATAAACTTTACTGTTGAGTTTGAAGAAAATAACTCATTGCCTTTTCTAGATGTTTTAATTATTAAGGGTAATAATGAATTCAAATTTAAAATTTACAGAAAACCTACAAATAACTGTTCCTATGTCCACTATTATTCCTCGCATCAAGATAGAGTCAAACTGTCTGTTTTCTCATCAATGTTTTTGAGAGCTTTACGAATTTGTAGTCCTGAGTTCATAGATGAGGAAATATCCAAATTTATGAAATAGGTAATGATTTAAAATACCCAAGAAATGTAATTGATAAATCTTTTAAAGTTGCTGGAAATACTTTTTACAATCCAAAAAGGGACAACCAGCCTTATTCAACTAAAAATATGTTGGTTCTCCCTTACCATGAAACTTGGTTGATATTGCCTTCTCTTCTTAAGACTTTTAATATTAAAGTTGTATTCAAAAATCTTGATACAGTAAAAAAAACTTTTGATAAAGAATTCCCCCCAAAATGCTGATGGATGTGTCTATAAGATTCCTTGTAAAATTTGCGATAAAGTTTATTACGGTCAAACTGGTAAAAATCTCGAACTAAGATTAAAACAACATAAATATAGCATTAAAACTGGACAAGATTCCATGCTCTATTTATTCATGTAAGAGATTTTAACCATCCTATTGATTTTCAAAAAGTTGAGAAAGTAGTATTCAAGCAAGTCCATGGTCGACAGGAATATAATTGAATCTTGTTTCATAAGAAGCAGTTTTGACAATAATATGAATATTTCCTTTGGTTTATATAAATTATATGTGTGTGTGTGTGTAAATATATATTATATATATATATATATTATATATATATATATATATATATATATATAATATATATATATATAATATACATACATATTTTTTCATTTAATGTTGTTTACTGTGTTACAATTACAGTCGTTTAAATTGGCAATAATTGTGTTATATTGTGAATAAAAATGCAAAAATGTTAATTGTTTAAGTAAATTCAATAACAGATGATAATTAAAGTTTTTATTGTTTTGAATAAATTGAAAAAACTTAATTAATGGTGTTCTCTGTCTGTCTGTCTGTCTGTCTGTCTCTCTGTCTCATTCTCTTTCTCTCTCTCTCTCTCTCTCTCTCTCTCTCTCTCTCGCTCTCAGGTTTCGTACACGTCGACGGGCAGGACAGCTACTCGTGATGTCATCTGAAGCAGCAGGAGGAAGAGCAGGAGGAGAAGGAGGAGGAGGAGGAGGAGTAGGAGTACGAGAAATAGGAGGAAGAAGAAGAGACAAAGATGGAGAACAAGGAGAACAACTAACACTTCACCTGTCTGAGGGAAGGTTATGTGTAAATCTTCACCTACAATCCCACCTATCCCAACACCATCCCTTCCCCAACCACCTTCCCCTATCCTCTTCAGCCTCCTCTTCCTCCTCCTCTTCCTCCTCCTCCTCCTCTTCCTCCTTCTCCTCCTCTTCCTCCTCCTCTTCTTCCACACTCTGCCTCACCCGTGTTCTTCTCTCAGACGGTCGCTGGCACCACGCAGCCGTGTCCAGGTAAATATATCTTAAAATTTCACTTGTTATTAAGTTACTTGTTACTTGTTACTGGTTCATTATCATGTTACTTGTTACTGCTTCATTATCATGTTACTTGTTACTGCTTCATTATCATGTTACTTGTTAGTGCTTCATTATCATGTTACTTGTTACTGAAGGTAATCAGTCCCTCGAGGCTCAGCGACTGATAACCTCAAACCCTTCCTCATATTCCACCTTCCTCTGCATTGCACAATTATCCCATTTATCCAAAATTTATTGCCCATATCATTTTTTCCTCATGGAGGTCATTGCAACTTGCCTTGCAGAGCCTGTGGTGCAAGGAGTGTTGCAGGCACTTTTAATATTATGTAGGCCTATGAGTGTTTATTATAAGATAGAAGTGACTCTTGCAATGACATGAGTCATCACCACTGAGTCATGTAATGACATGTGTCATCACCACTGAGTCGTGTAATGACATGTGTCATCACCACTGACTCATGTAATCACATAAGTCATCACCACTGACTCACGAATCATCATCGCTGATTCAAAACACTAGTCATCACCACTGATTCACAACACTAGTCATCACCACTGACTCACAACACTAGTCATCACCACTGACAACGCGAGTCATCACCACTGACTCATACAATAACACGAGTCAACACAGACTCACTTAAGAGTCAACACACTGCAGGTACGGTGGAGCTGTGGTGTTGAGTGCTGACGAAGGTGATGGTGACCTTTACAATAGCTCCCTGACCTGGCTGAGGTCACCTGAAGGCTCAGGTCTCCTGCAGGTGGACGCTGAAGGTGTACTGGTGGGAGGAGCACCTCAACACCTGACTCTCAGAGCCTTCACAGTACACCGTGACTACTTTGATGGTAATATTGTGCATGTGTGTTTGTGTGTGTGTGTGTGTGTATGTGTGTGTGTATTCACCTATACGTGGTTGCAGGGGTCGAGTTACAGCTCCTAGCCCCTCCACTTTGCTACTAGGCCCACTCTCTCCCAGTGTGTACTCACCTATTTGTGGTTGCAGGGGTCGAGACATAGCTCCTGGCCCCGCCTCTTCACTGATCGCTACTAGGTAATACATCACTGCAATGACTACCTTGTGTCCCCTAGACTGAATTGCACCTACTATGTAGTCCCTTTCATCCATTTCGCCATTCCTTCAATTTCCTCAAATCTCCATCGGTTTTTAATGAGTAGTGCAACTCCTCCTCCCCCTCTGCTCCCTCTGTCTTTCCTCAGGATTTGATATCCGGGTGGGAAGATTGCGTCTGTTATTTTCCCGGTGAGTTTCGTTTCTGTGAGTGCTTTGATGTTTGGGGACATCTCCTTGATTCTTTCATGCCACTCCTCACATTTATTTGTTATTCCGTCAGCATTCGTATACCAAACCTTCAAGTTCTTTTGTAAAACTGTGGTCTGGGGAAAAACGTCGGGGTTGGGGGAGCGAGAGACCTTTCAAGGAACTATGGGATGTTGCTGTGGGGGTTGAGTTTGTAATGACAGGGATGGGGGCATTACAAACTCCACCCCCACAGCAACCCCCCATAGTTCCATGCCTGGTCTCTCGCTCCTCCAACCCTAACGTTTTCCCCAGACCACAGTGTGTGAGTTTTGGGTTACCTTGTTAGGTTGCAATCTAGCGTCCAAGGCCTGATCATATCTACTCCTGAAGCTGCGTACGGTTTGTTCTCTCCCCCAGGTTGTCTGGACGACCTACGTATCTCTGGCAGGAGTGTCCCCCTTCCCCCAGCGATGAACACCACCAGCTGGGGAGATGTCAGGGGATTTCAGGGGGTGGAGAGTGGGTGTACAGGACCACCTGCTTGCTCCAACGTCACTTGCAGTCCTCCACTCACCTGCGTGGATACCTGGAGAAGTTACCACTGCGGGTAGGTGGCTCAAATGGGTGTGTGTAGGTGATGGGGCTCTGTTGTGTGTGTGTGTGTGTGTGTGTGTGTGTGTGTGTGTGTGTGTGTGTGTGTGTGTGTGTGTGTGTGTGTGTGTTCGAGTCATTGTTATGGTAATGGAGGTGAGGGAACGTGTGATCAATTAGCTTTATTATTGTTCAATCATTATCATCAGCGCTCCTCCGGTCTCACTCTCTCTCTCTCTCGCTCTTTCTCCCTCCCTTCCTCCCACACACTTCCCACCTGCCCTTACGTTAATTAACAACCTCTCAGCAGGTAAGCGATAAGATTCTCCGCACCACCTCAAGTCAAGAAAATCCTTTGGAAAAAGCTTCCTAGAGTTATAACTGTAACTTTTCTTCCATAGTTACATAGTTGAGGACAAGTTATTATAATTTAAGTCGTGATATTTTACGTCTAATTTTCTTAGACGATAAAAGGGATTACAAGTGTAGCGAAGAGAAGGATTTGGGTATCATAGAGCATTGAAAAATAGCTATGGGCAGACATGAAGAGGTAGGTAAGAAAGAGGGGGATGGGAGGATTTGAGTAAGACAGAGCAGTGTAGAGAGAGTATGAGAGGAACGAATAGGCAAAAACGGTTAAGTATTCTGAGTACTTTGGGTAAATTTTAGGGGAGTAGTTTTTGTCTCGTGGTGATGTGTTTAATGGGAGTACTTTTTCTCCGACGTTTTTCTCATGTTGAGAACTTCTTCTGTGGTGTGAGGGAAGACAGGTTACTTCTCTGTACCTCCTTTTCATGTCGAGAATCTCTACTACAGGTGTGAGGGAGGACGCGTTCTAGACAGCAGTGGAGCGACGTGTGTGGAGGCGGACGAGTGCTTCTGGAGGCCTTGTCTAAATGCTGGTTCCTGCTACAACACACACCCAGGTACCACCAGCATTGTACTTTCTCTTAGCTTTTTCTTAGCTTTCAAATAGCTTTCTCTTATTTATCCATTAACTTTCTCTTAGCTTTTTCTTAGCTTTCAAATAGCTTTCTCTTAGTTATCCATTAGCTTTCTCTTAGATTTTCATAACTATATTAACTTTTTCTTGGTTTTCTATTAAATTTTCTTTAATTTTCAATTAACTTTCTCATAACATTCTTTTAGGCATCTCTTAACATTCTTTTAGCTTTCTCTTAGGGTTCTACTAATTTTTTAAGTTTTCTCTTTTAACCTTTCGTAGCATTATGTTAGTAATTTTTATAGTTATTTTCTACCTTTCAGTTTTCTAATGGGTCTCCCTAATCTTTTTCTTTTTTTGCTTTCGAGCAACTTTCTTATTGCTTTTCCTTACTCATTTAATTATTTTCAAGTTATTTTTTCCTAGCTTTCTACTTTTTTCTAAATAATTCATCATAATACACACTAACATTTTTTTCCTGAATCCCATTAGCTTTCCCTATAGCTTTAATTACTATTATTATTAATCTCCTACTTATTATTAATTATTATTAATCTCCTACTCATAAATCTCGGTGATTTTCCCAGGTTTTTACCTCCATATGAATTAGATTTCTTAGAGTTTTCTAGGATTTTTTTACGAAATGCCCAAAGTTTCTTAAATAGTTCATTAACTTCTATTTTTTTCCAGATTAAATGACTGGTTAAGTTCTATGAGGTTAAATAAGCCTCTATATCGTCTGTTACGATATTTTTTAGGAGCATATTTATCTAAAAAATGCATTAATGTAAATTATCAGTGTATAAATACTGAGATAAGATATATTATATACATACATTATATATATTATATATATATATATATATATATATATATATATATATATATATATATATATATATATATATATATATATATATATATTATAATATATATATATATATATATATATAATGTATATAATGTGTGTGTATTTATATAAAGTGAGAGAGAGTGAGAAACACACTTGCAGTATATGCAGTGCGTGCAGCGTTGGTTTATTAGTATTAAAGCCCATTAACTGCACGAGTGTAATTAAGGCTGCATGTCACCTATTCACCACCAGTCAAGAATAATTTAATTCCTAAAATAGGAATTAAAATATGTTCTGAGGGCCTATACGCTGAATGTTAGACATTGTGTATATAGCAAGGTTGCTACTCTCAGTGTTTCCGCAGTGTTGACCGTTTCTGTACTACTACTACAACCATTACTACTACTACTACTAGTACTACTACTACTACTACTACTACTACTACTACTACTACTACTACTACTACTACGACTACTATTACTACTACTACTACTACTACGACTACTATTACTACTACTACTACTACTACTACGACTACTATTACTACTACTACTACTACTACTACTACTATTACTACTACTACTACTACTACGACTACTATTACTACTACTACTACTACTACTACTACTATTACTACTACTACTACTACTACTACGACTACTATTACTACTACTACTACTATGACTACTACTACTACTACTATGACTACTACTTCTACTACTACTATGACTACTACTACTATGACTACTACTACTACTACTACGATTACTTCTACCACTACTACTACTACTACTACTACTGTGACTACTACTACTACTACGATTACTACTACTACTACGATTACTACTACTACTACTACGATTACTACTACTACTACGATTACTACTACTACTACGACTACTACTACGATTACTACTACTACGATTACTACTACTATTACTACTACTACTAGTACTACTACGGCTACTACGATTACTACTACTACTACTACTAATACTAATACTACGACTACTACTACGATTACTACTACTACTACTACTACTGCTACTACGACTACTACTACAATTACTACTACTCTACTACTACTACGACTACTACTACGATTACTACTACTACTACTACTACTAATACTACGACTACTACTACGATTACTACTACTACTACTACTGCTACTACGACTACTACTACGATTACTACTACTACTACTACTACTACTACTATGACTAATAATAATAATGAAATAAAAATTATATAATAATAATAATAATAATAATAATAATAATAACAATCATAATAATAATAATAATAATAATAATAATATATATAATATAATAACATAATAATAATAATAATAATAATAATAATAATAATAATAATAAATCATTATTGCATATATTTCCTTTATTTTATCTTTCCATTGTCCTCTCCATTTGCCTACAAAATTATTATTTTTAATGGAATATAATAATACTACGTAATTAAAGGATGAAATATACACTGACAGGTATATGTCCCTTAGTTTATATACACTGACAGGTGTATGTCTCTCAGTGTATATACACTGACAGGTATATGTCCCTTAGTTTATATACACTGACAGGTGTATGTCTCTCGGTGTATATACACTGACAGGTATGTGTCCCTCAGTTTATATACACTGACAGGTGTATGTCTCTCAGTTTATATACACTGACAGGTATATGTCTCTCAGTTTATATACACTGACAGGTGTATGTCTCTCAGTTTATATACACTGGTAGTATACTTTAACCAGTATTTTAGGTATTAAAGTATTCTTGACTGGTGGTGTACAGGTGACATGCAGCCTTAATGACCCTCGTGTAGTAGATAGACTTTAAACCCCATTAACCAACCAACCAGCCTTAATGACCCTCGTGTAGTAGATAGACTTTAAACCCCATTAACCAACCAACCAGCCTTAATGACCCTCGTGTAGAAGATAGACTTTAAACCCCATTAACCAACCAACCAGCCTTAATGACCCTCGTGTAGTAGATAAACTTTAAACCTTATTAACCAACCAACCAGCCTTAATGACCCTCGTGTAGTAGATAAACTTTAAACCTTATTAACCAACCAACCAGCCTTAATGACCCTCGTGTAGTAGATAAACTTTTAACCCCATTAACCAACCAACCAGGCTTAATGACCCTCGTGTAGAAGATAGACTTTAAACCCCATTAACCAACCAACCAGCCTTAATGACCCTCGTGTAGTAGATAGACTTTAAACCCCATTAACCAACCAACCAGCCTTAATGACCCTCGTGTAGTAGATAGACTTTAAACCCCATTAACCAACCAACCAGCCTTAATGACCCTCGTGTAGTAGATAGACTTTAAACCCCATTAACCAACCAACCAGCCTTAATGACCCTCGTGCCCCATTAACTTTCAGTGAAGGTAATACTACCTACTTTTTCTAAACCAAGCACTCACATTAACATTTACATTTTCAACGATGGTTTAACACGTATAACTAAGACAGTAAACAGTAACTTGGACAATGTAACCCATATCACGCGCAAACTCTGACTTGTATAACGCGAGAACTTTCCCGTAACAACAGCAGCAGCTGCGCGCAAACACCGGGTTGTTTGAGAGAGGACGAAAAGATTGCTGGTTGGATAATCAACTTGAAAGAGTCAGACACTTGGTTCCATGCTGGTGTTTGCTTTCTGAAGGTCGCGGCTTCAAACATTTTCTTCTCACAGTTTTGTCAATTTTCGTTTTTTTTTTTAATACTTCCTACCGAATTCCATGGCCTGTTTCCCCTGCTGTGTTTAAGCTGCTGTGTTTACCCTGCTGTGTTTAAGCTGCTGTGTTTACCCTGCTGTGTTTAAGCTGCTGTGTTTACCCTGCTGTGTTTAAGCTGCTGTGTTTACCCTGCTGTGTTTAAGCTGCTGTGTTTACCCTGCTGTGTTTAAGCTGCTGTGTTTACCCTGCTGTGTTTAAGCTGCTGTGTTTACCCTGCTGTGTTTAAGCTGCTGTGTTTACCCTACTGTGTTTACACTGCTGTGTTTCCCCTGCTGTGTTTAAGCTGCTGTGTTTACCCTGCTGTGTTTACACTGCTGTGTTTAAGCTGCTGTGTTTACCCTGCTGTGTTTACCCAGCTGTGTTTACCCAACTATGTTTACCCAGCTGTGTTTACCCAGCTGTATTTACCCAGCTGTGTTTACCCAGCTGTATTTACCCAGCTGTTTTTACCCAGCTGTGTTTACCCAGCTGTATTTACCCAGCTGTGTTTACCCAGCTGTGTTTACCCAGCTGTATTTATCCAGCTGCGTTTTAGTCATGCTATGTTTGCTGTGCTGTGTGTAGTTACTGTGTTTATCCTTCCACACTTTTCTTGTGGCGTTAGTCCTATATTTACAGTGCTATATTTGCTCTGTTATATTTACCGTGCTATGTTTGTTATGCTGTGTTTATGCTGTGATTGTTATGCCATATTTGTCATGTTGTGTTTGCCATGCTGTGTTTGTCATGCTGTGTTTATGCTGTGATTGTTATGCCATATTTGTCATGTTGTGTTTGCCATGCTGTGTTTGTCATGCTGTGTTTGCCCCTCCTTTGTTTGCCTTCCTGTGTTTACCATAAACCACGGAACGGCGGAGTTTAAAGCCAAGGCAGATAAGATTTAGGGCTCACTCGCCATAGGTTTAAACCCCAACCGGTCCGTTGTTTGTTCTCAGTCGTGTTATAACGGTTTCGTGAGCTGTGTTGACGTTGCATTGTTACAATGGGAAATTAGACACATGTGCAACACCTGGGTATCTTTATTCTGAAGACGTTTCGCCCACTAGTGATTTTATCAATTCAATACAGAGGTTATTTGAATGTGTTGGAAGTGGAGACACTAGAAGACTAGGGAATCAGTCCCTCAACATAACTCATCAGTCATCATGCTTTGCTATGCTAACGAGGCTATGTTTGCGGGGGGATGTAGATTATCTAACTACCCACTACCCATTCCTATTATAGGGTATATGTGCGCCTGCCCAGTGGGGTTCAGTGGCCAACACTGCCAGGTGCCCGAGGTAGGAGAGCCCTCATTGAACCTCTCTTTGGGGGCGCTGCTGGCGATCGTCGTCTGGTGTACGTTCCTCCTGCGTGAGTACCTGGGTGTCTTGTTTACCCGTCTAGGTATACCTGTTATTGAAAGACAGATATCTGGATTGCTACATGAAAATACAGGTGGATATTTTATATTATATATTATATATATTTATATATATATATATATATATATATATATATATATATATATATATATATATATATATACATAATCATTTACCAAACTGCGACAGGTCAGGGTTCAACCCCACGACACATTGTCCCGCCTGAAGAGACAACACAATGTACATGTCACCTTATCCACTCAGCCATCTACCTACAAAGATAATGCACCCAGAAGAGCTAGGTGTTGTTCGAAATCCGTGGACACTCGTGGCAGTGGGTTAATTTCAGCCTCCTCCTGTTTGAATACCCGCCTCCAGACACACCACACACCACACACACACACACACACACACACACACACACACACACACACACACACACACATAGACACACACACACACACACACACACGCACACACACACACACACATATATATAGTGCCATGAAACACACACACACACACCACACACACACACACGCACACACACATATAGTGCCATGAAACACACACACACACACACACCACACACACACACACACACAACACACACACACCACACACACACACACACACACACACACACACACACACACACACACAACACATGCACATCCTGCTGTTACGCTCAACTACTAAAGCCAAACCTAGAATTTCCTAACTCATTCACTCTCATATAATTTGCATAATGAACAATATAATTATAACTTTTAAATTTATTTTTGTCATGAACTCATAGACAGAGAGAAAGAAGAGAGAGAGAGAGAGAGAGAGAGAGAAGAGAGAGAGAGAGGGAGAGAGAGAGGAGAGAGAGGAGAGGATGAGAGAGAGAGAGAGAGAGAGAGAGAGAGAGAGAGTGGCCCGGTGGCCTGGTGGCTAAAACTCCCGCTTCACACACGGAGGGCCCGGGTTCGATTCCCGGCGGGTGGAAACATTTCGACACGTTTCCTTACACCTGTTGTCCTGTTCACCTAGCAGCAAATAGGTACCTGGGTGTTAGTCGACTGGTGTGGGTCGCATCCTGGGGGACAAGATTAAGGACCCCAATGGAAATAAGTTAGACAGTCCTCGATGACGCACTGACTTTCTTGGGTTATCCTGGGTGGCTAACCCTCCGGGGTTAAAAATCCGAACGAAATCTTATCTTATCTTATCTTAACTGCACAAGTTGTGCCCTTTTCCCTCCTCCTCCTCCTCTTCCTCCTGCTCCTCTTCCTCCTCCTCCTCCTCCTCCTCCTCCTCCTCCTCCTGCTCCTCTTCCTCCTGCTCCTGCTCCTCCTCCTCCTCCTCTTCCTCCTGCCTCTCCTCCTCCTCCTCCTCCTCCTCCTCCTCCTCCTCCTCCTCTTCCTCTCTGCTCCTCCTCCTCCTCCTCCTCCTCTTCCTCCTGCCTCCTCCTCTGCTCCTCCTCCTCCTCCTCCTCCTCTGCTGCTGCTGCTAAACTTTTTGCTTTATGTTCGGAGAAGAGTTTTAAAAGACTTGTGTATAGAATCAAATTTTATGCGTGTAGTTGCGTGTTTGTTATTCCACGTGTTGCTGTCTGTGTTCTGTGTGTGTCTGTGTCTGTCTGTACCCTGTATGTATGTCTGTCTGTCTGTGCCCTGTGTGTATGTGTGCGTCTGTATGTGTCCTTTATATGTGTGTGTCTGTCTGTTTGTGTGCGTGCCTGAGTGTCGGTGTGTCTGTATTTGTCTGTTTCTGTGTATATCTGTGCCTGTCTGTGTTGGTGTGTTTATGGTTGTGTCTGTCTGTGTATACACCTATTTGCACTCACCTACTTGTGGTTGCAGGAGATGAGTGATAGCTCCTGACCCCGCCTCTTCTCTGTCAGTGATAGTTTGTGTCTCTGTCTGTGACTGTGTCTGTATGGGTGTCTGTCTCTGTGTTAGTCTGCAGCTCTCAGGCGTTTTCTGTGTGT